ATTCCTTTCCCAGATAACCTTCTTTTTGCCTTTTAGATCTTAATGTCATGGGGTGCCACATACACCAATATCTCTTGTAATTGATTGGACCTGAGATGAGAGGCAATATGACCTAGGTGAGGGAACGTTTTCATTAAAAGACTGCTGTGAACCCCATTTTTTTTCATTCAGTCACTTTATGACAGTAGGAACATTAACTTCTCTGAGTCTTAACTCCTTCGTTTATACGCTGAGAATAATAACTACTTTGCAACCTTGAAGTAACAATAAGGTACGGAGGTGAAGTTAAGGTATAGTAGAAAACCCTCTTGGCCGATGTCCACCTGCTCATCCAAGGACACCGACTGGTGAAGCACACAGGTGTGGGGAGCCAGCGGGCCAGCGCCAGGCTCCTCCCTGCCCCCGCGCCTGGCCCCTCCCGCCCTGGCACTTGCCTCCCCAGTGTCCCTGTGTCTGCTCCCAAACCAGGCTACGCCAGCCACCCCTGCTTCTGAAACATGCAGTTTAATCAAATAGGCCAGGGGTCTAGGAGCGCAGAAAGAGAAAGTTATTGTTTCTCTTGAAACGTAGAGAATTTGCTGTTGAGGTAGGTTTGAAAGAACAGGGAACACTGTAAACACCTAGAACACGTTTGCATTCGGATTGCTTGTCAGGTGCCTGCAAATTCTGGTACCATGTCCATGAAGCCGAAAGTGGAAATAATTATAGATGAAATGTTATGGATGTGGTTTGTGAAAGAAAGACATTCAACACTGGAGCACTCCAGTGTGCTCATACTTAAAAAAAAACCAACAACTGTGTATAAAACTGTGTCCAAAAGTCAGACAAAATCCTTATGCTGCCTTAGGCCTCAGACCTCGTGGAAATCTGAGGGAGGCTGTGGACTCTCTTCCCCGAAGAGGGAGACAAGCTCACAGGCCTTGCCTGTAGTTTCGGGGTACTGAGCAGACCTGAAGCCTGTCGGTGGGCCGAAGATCAGAACCCTTGCCTTCGGGGCTCACCTGCCACCTGCTCGCATCTCGAATTGAAGGCTTTGATGACTTAATCAATCTTGATTGTAATATTTTGTTTACTGAAGTATTTAACGTCCTCTTAATAGATACAGTATCAATTACTTTGTTTATACGTTTTTTTTATTTGACACAAAAGGTGGCAAGTCGGTTACATTTTACAACTGTATTTCTGTATCACTTTTGGAGGCACGACTAGGACATTTTATTACCTACACATAAATTATGTAAGTGACCTAAAAATATTTAGGACACTGAGGACCAAGTGGTGTCATAAGGAATTCCTCGCTCTTCTGGACTTACATTAAAATTGGTAGAAGGTCATTTTGTCCTTAAACCTTATAACATATACTATGCCAGAAATTACAGGGGACCTGGGTACGGTTTCATTCACATTCTCTAGCTGGTGTAAAGTGTTCTCGGAGGACCACAGTGTCCTACCGAAACCGGAAATGCCATCTAGCGCGACACCTGCTGGCCAGCTGCACTTCCCTGGGGTGAGGGTGTCCCTGCGGTTACAGATTTCCAGTGGAGAGACTACGGGCTGTGTGTGGCAGGGATTCCGCTGCAACACCACTGCGAAACTTCCCGAAGTCTTGTTCAATGTTTTTCCCAGATCACTGAGGATACCGGGAGCTCTCAATCTCCTTCCCTAATGAAGAGACATTGCTGTAGATAATAGAGTCGGATCATCCCCCTGGGTGTTTCCTCCACCCCACAGGTCAAGGTCCAGGCAGAGAAATAGGCAGCTGCAGGGCACTGACAGGCAGGCCCTCGGGAGCCTGGGGCCAGCCCAGGACCGCGCTCTTCACCCCTGGTACCGCCTGCGTCTCCTCCAGAGAGGAGCCCGAAGGAAAGGCTTACCGGAAAAACCACCTTTCTGTAGCCACTCCGAATCCCTGGTAGAAAGAAGTCAAATATAAATAAATCTAAATAAATAAAAATAACTGTGATCTAAACTGTGTTTTGTGGTAGAGTCCTCAGTAAATGTTTGCTGAGCAAATAAGGAATAAAATTTTCTAACTGCTAGGTTTTCTGCAGAAAGTTAGCCACAAATCAGCAGATATTTATTGAATGTCTATGTGTACAGCAGCTGTGGTAGATACTGTGGAAACTAAAAACAGTCCCCATTTTAAAACTTTTTATGTACTGATTTTATTTTTAGAGAGAGAGAAACACCAATGTGTTGTTCCACTTATCTGTGCAGTCATTGGTTGCTTGTTGTATGTGCCCTGACCGGGATCAAACCCATAACCTTGGTGTATCAGGACGATGCTCTAACCAGCTGAGCTACCCGGGTAGGACAAAACAATCCCTGTTTTAAAAGTTGCCATTATTCTTGGGGGAGTGTGTGTATACATCTGTATACATACGCACACGTATATAAATCACTAATCAGCATTATAATACAGAATTGCTAAATGTCTGGTACATAAAATAAGCATAAAGCTTTGATGTAAGAAGAGAACCATCTGGATTAAAATAAATTGGGAAGGAGGCCTGGAAGGAAGGGAGGCAAGGTGGGATCTTAAAGAAAGAGCAGGATCTTAACGGCAAATCTAAACACGAGGACTCAGAAAATGACGTAACACCAGCCTAACGACTTCACGTTTGCGTGTATCATTGCACCTGCAGGAAACACGTCAAAGATAATGGCCTAACTTGTTCAGTTTCCAAATCAGCGTGTTCATTTTTATGTTCTAGACTGCCGGGCACATGTACACACGCACACCCTTCCCCTACGCATCCAGCAGCTGCCCGCCATCTGGGGAGCCGCTCAGAGCACACGCCGTGGAAGCCACGGGCTCAGCTTCCATCCTGAGTCTACACCTGACTAGCTGTGTGACTCTAGACAAGCCACTTGACTCTTTCTATGTCTCTGTCTTTAAATTCTCTCATTGTAAGAATGGGGTCTTACAGGGTTGTCATGAAAACAATACATTTATTTAGATAAAGCCTCTAGAATGGTGTCTGGCACGTCGGACGCACTCTGAAGCGTTGCTGTTATCACCCCCCATCACCATCTTCACGTTGCTTGTCCCCTCTTCTGAGGACCAGATGGCAAGGGAGACCAGGAGGGATCATGCAGGTGCTCACCGTCCAGTAGGGGTGATGGCTTGATACACAACGAAATAGATGTTTACACAGATTACAAAGTAACTTAGACTTAATTTGTATCTTTGTGATTGTTAATTAATTTTGTGGGAAATCATTGCTATAGAATAGCATTTATTAGATATTATTACTATCATTCAGGTAAATTGTCATGGGTACGTAAGTGAATAATAGTTTAGACATCAAATTATGCAGTAGGTGTTTTCTGAAAAGGCTTTCTACAAACTGAATGTTGGCTGACTTTATAAATATGATCAGTTTTATCTCAATCTCAGTACTATCAAAGGTTATTTCTCATCAGCACTAATGTTCACACGTTTACCTTTAATTACCTTTGACCCAGAAGACTTCCCGCTGTGGCAGCAACTCTGTGTTTACCACCGTACACCTTGCACTTGGCCCGAAGGGTGTCCACTAACTATTTGTGGAATTGACTTGTGGACGTTATTATTTGCTTCTACGTGTTTATAACAGATTGCTTCCTGTTTTGTTTTTTAATCCTCACCCAAGGATATTTTTTCCATTGATTTTTAGAGAGAGTGGGAGGGCAGGGGAGAGAGACAGAGAAAGAAACATCAGCGTGAGAGAGAGAGATTGGTTGCTTCCCAGAGACACCCCAACCAGGACGGGGGATCAAATCAGCACCCCAAGTATGTACCCTTGACCATGAATCGAGCCTGCAACCTTTCGGTGCTCGGGCCAGTGCTGTAACCACTGAGCACACCGGCCAGGGCTGCTTCCTGATTTTAGCAGCTGCTCACTCACGTCCAGGACAGTTGAGAGAGCATGTTTTTAAGCTGTTTGTGCAGCTCCTTTGGAAAAAAATCAAAACTGAAGTTATTTTGGAAGTGTTTATCTGTTGAATTTTTTTAAGAAGCAGAAGTCAGGTCAAAGGATTAAAAATCACTCTTGAATTACTATTTTAATATTCAGAAATTAAGTCGATCTATTTTTTACTTATTTTTAAGACTACATTGTATCTACTTCTAACGTGGGACTCATGAAATTTCTTTGGCCATAAACAATATAATGTATATATGTTGAATAGAAATAAAAGTTCTGTGCATAAGAAAATTCCAGTTAATAAAGCATGAAAAATATGAATGTATAAAAATAGCACATGCGCAACCAAAACACCAGTCCTGAGTGTACCACACTGAAACAATACGATGGTGGGGCGAGTCACACCACCTTGACTTCCCAGGAGCCGAGCCCCTCTAAGGAGCACGTATATGAGTCTAGAAGCACACTGTGGCTAAGAATCGCAGCAGCCATGGAGTTACACCAACAAGCACTGTGTCTGTTCATATGAACATACTTTAATTTAATGCCACATAGTACTCAAGATAATAATATTGAAGACAGTTTGGCACTATATACATATACATATACATATATATGTTTCCTGTGGCAAAATATAACATAACATGTACCATTTTAACCATTTTAAAATTGTGATAAAATATACATAATATTAAATTTATCAGCTTAACCATTTTTAACTGCACAGCTCAATAGTGTTAGGTGTATTCACATTGTTGTACAACCAATCTCCAGAATACGTATATGTTTTATAAAGAAATGAATGAGTCCTTTAGATATAGTCTACTAATGAGAGACTTTATTTGCACACAGAAACATGAACATGTATCTCACTGATAAAGATTCTATTTTGTTTTTTTAACAATCTCTATCTCTCTCTCCCCCTTTCCCCCCCTTCTCCCTCCCTCCCCCTCTCTCCCCCTCCCCCTGCCCTCTCCCCCTCCCCCTGCCTCTCCTGTCTCCCTCTCCCCCTCCCCTCCTCCCTGCCTCTCTCCCTCTCTCCTTCTCCCCCCCTCTCCTCCTCCCTCCCTCCCTCCTTCCCTTCATTAATAGGAGTGAGCTGAGTCGACAGAAACTTCATACCCAAGAGCTGCTTTCTCAGCTGGAAATGGCAAATGAAAAGGTAGTTGAGGTAAGATAATGACTCCCCCGGGAGATCCTTCTGCTGCAGCCTGATATACATGTGAGAGAATTTTACTCGAGCCAAGTCCAAATTAATTCTCTACTTGGAAATGACCATACAGATGTGCGTATTTCTAGTAGAAATCATCCATAACCTGAAAAGTCCACGCGTAATATACTGTGAATAAGAGCCGAGAGGCGGGACCGTCGTGTGTGAATTACAGGAGGTACTGGAGCTGGTGCAGAGTCTCCGAGACTCCATCAGGACCCTCTGTGTCTGTGCGTGTCTGAGATGATTTTTCAACCTGTTCCTTTTATTTTGTTTTCATCCATCACAAGAGACATGTAGAAAATACTCTGGCCTGCTGGACTTATATTGAAATACTCCTTTAGATTACTTAGAGCTAAATATAGCAAGAGTTTGGGTTTTTTTCTCTTAAAGTTTTAAAAAAGTAAACAATTTTTAGATTATGATCAGGGCATCCTAGAACTCTGGTTCTTTTCTTATTTTTTTATTTTTTATTTTTTTTAATCTTCACCCAAGGACATTTTTCCATTTATCATCAGATAGAGAGGGAAGGAGAGAGAGAGAGAGAGAGACATCGACGTGAGAGGGACACATCAGCTGGCTGCCTCCTGCACAACTGGACCAGAGCCGGGGACAAACCACAGCCAAGGTGCGTGCCCTTGACCGGAATCGAACCCTCAGGCCGATGTTCTAACTGCTGAGCCAAACCTGCCAGGGCTCTAGTTCTCCTTTTGATGTTCCAACTTCGAATGTATTTGTTGGAATTTCTTTTTTTTTAAATCCTCACCCGAGGACATTTTTTGATATTTTGTTCAGATAGAGTGGGAGAGAGAGAAAAACATCGACGTGAAAGGGACACATCGAGCGGTTGCCACCCACTCGACCCAGCCAGGGCCAGGGACAAACTGCAACCGAGGTACGTGCCCTTAGCAGGAACCGAACCCGGGTCTCTCCAGACCACAGGCCAACGCTTGTTGGAATTTCTTTAACAGGCTGCATGGCCCACCTCTCTCGGTGGCCCTTCTGCAGGTACTGTAGTGACACCGTGACTCGTAAGTGTTGTAGCATTATAAATTGATACGGACCATTTAGAAAACAACTAAACACTGGCCCTTAAAGTACTCTTTGGTGTGGGTCCCACTTCCAGGATTCTGGTGTAAGAGAGTCATTTAAAATACAAAAAAAGGAAGATATTCAATGTTAATAGTTGAAAGATCAGAAACAACCACAATGAGCAATTGGAAAAAGAACAATTGCCTATACATTATGATTCATGTAATCTGGACTGTGCCTCATTATTGTAGCAGCATCGAAAGGTAAGCGTTGTATGTGGTCTGATTGTGACTATGGAAACGATGATCACAGAGGATGGCATCCCCGAGTTTTGTCTCATGTTAATGCCATGACTGATAAATGCGAGACTACGTACTTCAACAACTTGCTACACTAGAGCAGCCAATATAGTTCTCGTCATAAAATTTAATTTTGCTTTTGGGCACACTAAGAAACGTAATAAGCTCATTTGAACAGGATGCTGTTATTTCAGTATTTTATATCACTGGGCCTGGCATTCCCTGCGATCACTGCTCCGTTCGGGCGTGCGGGCTGTGTCCTTCTCAGAGGAAGTGTGTTTTTCTTGCTGTTCCTGTGAGACCAAGACTGGTTGCTCTCTCAGTTCCCACCAGCGCCAGAAAAACTGAGTAACAATTCCAGTGGTGCAGAAACTTTGTGTCCAGGCGAGGAACACAGGGAGGGCCGCTGCACTCTACCTGACAGCGTCTTCGAGCTGTGTGCTGGCCAGCGTGCGGGTGTCACCGCTGCCGCCGCGGCTCCCGAGGCTGTGACAGGGTCACAGACAGCGGCAGAACCACAGAAAGGCACTGTCGCCGTCTGGAGGTCAGGGCCTAGATCGGGAAGTCGGCCGCATTGGTTCCGCAGGGCTCAGAGGAGAGCGGTCCACGCGTGTCTCCCAGCTTCCAGGGCCGCTGTGCTCCTCGGCGTGTAGGGTTCTCCCTGTCTTCACATGGTCTCCCCTCTGTGCGTGTCTGTCTGTGTCCACATCCCCCTTTCTAGGGAAACACCAGTCACAGCTGATCAGAGCCCAAATAAGTCAAACTTACTCATTAGCAAGAACCCTATTTCCAAATAAGGTCCCACTCATAAGTAGTGGGGGTTAGGACTTTAGTGAATTTTTTTTAGGGACATAATTCAACCCATGACAATGTCTTAATACCTCTGCTGACCCTAATACCCTCTGGAGTATACAGCTTTTGGGGGAACATGTAGAAACAGAGTTATTCACCTTATAAAGAACACCTTTAGCATATAAATCATTTAGGGCACATCTAACTGTATAAAAACTAGGATTTCTAGAGTGAGTATTTTCTGTTTCTTGAACTTTAATAACGATCATGCCCGGTTGCCCTGGATAGAGGCTGGTTCTGCACAGTGGCTCCGGGGGCACCTGTGCAGCGCCCGCACCCTGGGGAAGTGACAAACGTGGGAACTCTCGGGTGGGGAGAGCTCCGGCTGGGAGGCCCAGCCGTCTGTGTTCACACCTCCCACAGTCGAAGCCGGGAGCTGGGGTATCGAGGTTAACAGATCAAAAAGTCAACATCTTGTTCTTCTCTTTGCATTTAATTCACTTTGTTTGTTGGCATGCAGGGGTAAAGACAGTGTTGTAAGAACGTAAACCAACCTTGAAGTTCATGATTTGACAGAATGCAAATCTGAAGACACATTGTCTTTGCATTTTATAGGTGTCAAATGATGTCCAGATTTTTCATTGATTATTCCACAAAGCGTCTCCCAGTGACCCATGGATTTCTAACTTGTTTTATTTTTCCCCTTAATAGAATGAAAAGTTAATTCTCGAGCATCAGGAAAAAGCCAGCAGACTTCAAAGGCGGCTCAGCCAGGCAGAGCAGAGAGCAGCAGAGGCGTCTCAGCAGGTAGGGGGCCTCCTCGTCACCCCAGACAGTGAGAGTGGGACGGGGTGCAGCCACGAACAGGCCCTCAACTGCTCCCAAAGAGCTAGCAGTCTTATTTCTACTTGATTCAACTAGTTAGAGTTAGTCTCTTTATTATTTGAGGTTGAAAATAAACATCAGTCTCCTGCAGTTGACCCTGACATCTAGAACGGCACCCACTGAGAGCCACTGGCTACCAGCAGCCATTTAAATTAGTTAAATTAAATGAAACTAGACATTGGAACCCTCAGTCCACTCGCAGATTCCAGTGTACAGACGGCTGGAATGTGGGACCCGCCGTCACCACAGGAGGCCCCGGGGGCGGCCCTGCCCCGGAGCGTGTGGTGTGCATACTGCGCAGGTCTCTTCTGGCAGATTGGGAAGGAGATAATGTCTTTGAATGTGCTTTTCAATTGCGCTAACTTTGTTTTTATTGTAGTTTTTAAATGGAAAAAATTACTTGGCGTATTGGTCAATTTCATTTAATGCACATTTGTATGTGACTATATAAATCTAAAATATGATACAAAGTTTTGCAATGGGAAATAGAGTTAGAACATGCAGAACGTCGATGAAATACTGACATTAGGGGTAATTACCCATAATGCACACACATCATAATGAAATGGGCCATTTCTTCTGAAGTGGGGGCAACAGTCCCTTCTATTGGGAACAAAATGAGACCAGTTTAGTGACTATAATGATAGGCTAGAAACAGTGCAGATAGATAGATAGACAGATAGATAGATGGATAGATATAGACAGAAGGGCAGATAGACAGATTGATAGGTATAGATAGGCAGGCAGATAAAAACAAACCAAGTTAATACATTATTAATTATATTTGGTTATAAATGTACTATTTTTAATTAAAATTAATATTACTCTTAGATATTACAGCATTTTATACATAGTAAAGCAACTCTACTGAATTCAGTGTGATATTTACAGATTTTGATTTTTTGAAACCTACTTCTAGCATGAACATGACACGACACTGAAATAAAATTCAGTGATAATTTTTCCCTCTCTCTCGAAAGTAACCGTAGCTTTGTCAAATACATTTAATTTCTTATGAAATAATGAATTAATGGATTACTTAATTACTCAAGGATTCCTTCGTTCATGTGAACTAGAAGGTGCAGGAGCCAGGGCTGCTGGGCAGCTCCGAGTATGTGTAGTGTCAGGCAGGTAGCCTGCTGCCCTTCAACAGCCGTGTGGCGCTGAGCAGCCTCAGCCTCAGCCCGCTCGTCTCAGTGGAGGAGGACCGCACCTTCTTACGGAGGTGTCGCGAGGTCTAGTGGAGGAGGACCGCACCTCCTTGCAGAGGTGTCGCGAGGTCTAGTGGAGGACCGCACCTCCTTGCAGAGGTGTCGCGAGGTCTAGTGGAGGACCGCACCTCCTTGCAGAGGTGTCGCGAGGTCTAGTGGAGGACCGCACCTCCCTGCGGAGGTGTCGCGAGGTCTAGTGGGGGAGGACCGCTCCTCCCTGCGGAGGTGTCGCGAGGTCTAGTGGGGGAGGACCGCTCCTCCCTGCGGAGGTGTCGCGAGGTCTAGTGGGGGAGGACCGCTCCTCCCTGCGGAGGTGTCGCGAGGTCTAGTGGGGGAGGACCGCTCCTCCCTGCGGAGGTGTCGCGAGGTCTAGTGGGGGAGGACCGCTCCTCCCTGCGGAGGTGTCGCGAGGTCTAGTGGGGGAGGACCGCACCTCCCTGCGGAGGTGTCGCGAGGTCTAGTGGGGGAGGACCGCACCTCCCTGCGGAGGTGTCGCGAGGTCTAGTGGGGGAGGACCGCACCTCCCTGCGGAGGTGTCGCGAGGTCTAGTGGGGGAGGACCGCACCTCCTTGCGGAGGTGTCGCGAGGTTTAGTGGAGGACCGCACCTCCTTGCAGAAGTATCGCGAAGTCTAGTGGAGGACAGCACCTCCCTTGCAGAGGTATCGCCAGATTGAGGGAATTCACACACAGAAAGGACTTAGTCGTTACATGGATAGGAGGTAGAGGTATAAGAAATTAGTCTTACGTCATAATCCTGAAAGCTTCAAGTTTACCTTTTTTAAGGAATGTGATAAGGAAAATGCCTATTTGAAATCAACTACCTCGAGTTCATAGTAAAAAGGGCCCAGTTACAAACCTTTGAGACATGGAGGGACCTGGAGAGTATTGTGCTGAGCAAAATAAGCCAGTTGGAGAAAGACATGTATCATCACATGATCTCACTTATTTGTGCAATATAAATGAACAAAATAAGCTGATGAACAAAGTAGATCCAGAGACATTGAAGTGGGGTGCAGACTGACAAACCTCAGGGTGAAGGAGAGTGGTGGGGGAGCAGGAAGAGATAAACCTAAGACCGTCTGTGCACATATGTCCAACCAGTGGACACAGTGCAGTGAGGGGTGGGGGGAGCAGGCAGGAGGGTGTCAGGGGGGGCAAAAGGAGGGACATCTGTAATAAAAAAAAATTTAATCAAAAATTTTTAAAGGATACAGTTACAGAACCTTAATTATGGAATCCAGTTGGCATCTGGTTCAATCTCCCTCCTGGCAGAATTAAACCTAAAGTCTGTTAAACTCTAATGGCAAAGTTTCCACCATTCTCTTTGTGAGCTTTTTTTTTCCCATAAATGTTTTTTCAGTAACCACTTCACAAATGGTTCCTTAAGCTTTCCTCCCTCCATTTTGTTCTCCTTTGAAGATGGACCGTCATCATCCGCTTTCTCCCCATCACAAAAAGGAGTTCATTCCGGGAGTTAATATTTTTTCCATTTTAAAAGAATCCAAGTTATAAAGTTTCTTTATGAGACATGTATTCAGTTTTTAAAACCTTTATCTTTGCCTTCTCTGAATTCTAATTAATTTTCTTATTTTTCTGTAAAAAATGGAAACTGCTAGTAGAAATAAGAGCCTGCCCAGGGCCTGGTGTGTAAGCGGTGATGGAGCTAAGAGCCCCTCGCTGACGAAGCACGCAACCAGAGCAGCCCATGCCCTGCCGGCGGGTCGGCAGGGGCCCCGCACGCCCGGCTCCCTCTGCTCTCAGTGTGCTGCTCCGACGTCCTGGCTCTACCTCCTCACCCGTCCTCTGCTGTGGTGACGTGTCCAAAGTCACCACTCTCCCTAGCCGTGTGCCATGTCTTCAAAATCGGTGGTGTAGCCTTTCTCTGCAAAAGCACAAAACCTCGAAACTAGGACAGAAATCAATAAATCTGGCTAGGTAAGATTTCAAATTTCTGCATTAAAAATGTCATGAAGTTCATGACAAACTGAGAAAAGTGTTTGCAGCACATAGACAGAGAGGCTAATGTCAACACGTCTCTACAGAGCGGCGAAGTCACAAAACGCGCTGCAGTGCTTCAGACAGATGAGTACAGGACATGGACAGGAAAGGACAGACTTCTAAGAGATGCGCATCCTCAGCCATCAGACCATCAGATTTAAGCTGTGTTCACCCACTTTTCACCGTCAGGCCTGAGCTCTGAGAGTGCCTGGTGCTGGCGCGCTCACGGTCACGGATGCAAATGTCCGTTGATGCGGTCTCTTTGGGGTCCAGTTGGGCAGTGTCTCCAAGATCGTACATGTCCGTAACCCAGACCCAGCAGTCCGAAGAATTTGTACTTGTGCCTGGGAAAGTCTGTCCACGGGGGCATGAAAAATGCTAATCTCTGCATTGCTTGTCGTTTTAAAAGATTGACTATCGCCCTGGCCGGTTTGGCTCAGCGGTTAGAGCGTCGGCCTGCGGTCCGGAGAGACCCGGGTTCGGTTCCCGCTAAGGGCATGTACCTCGGTTGCAGTTTGTCCCCGGCCCTGGTTGGTCGTGCGGGTGGCAGCCACTCGATGTGTCCCTTCACGTCGATGTTTCTCTCTCTCTCCCTCCCACTCTATCTATACAAAAAATGGAAAAATGTCCTCGGATGAGGATAAAAAAAAATAAAAAAAAGATTGACTATCTAAATGCCCATCAACAGGAAACCAGTTAAATTATGGAACATCCATGCAGGCAGAGTTTTGCAACTGTTAAGAGAAATAAAGTAGGTCTGATATGGAACTATTTCCAAGTCCGTTTAGTGCTTCATCATTTTTTAAATAAAAAGAGGTGAGGAAATCTATGCATGTATCCTCACTGAGAACATTTCAGGAAGTATGCTCAGAAATGCAAGTAGTGGTTATATCTGGAAGGAGATGTGGCACAGTGATGGAGATTGTCCTTCCTGCTACGTGCTGTTAGTTTTATTTTTACTATGTGCATATTCCATATTAATTTTCATCAATTCCGATGAATACTTAAAGATCACCTCCTATTAGACTTTTCTTGCTATGATACACCATCTTTTTATCTCCAGCCCTGTGATGTGCTGGCCTACACTCAGTGTGTGTTTTAGCCACTTTTCCGATTAACTTTTATCTAGATGTTCTTCATCCATCTATGAAACATGCCTCGGAATTCTCAGTGTATCACTGAGCTGTGGGATGTCATACTTGACATGTGTCTCTCTCGTGTGGTACAGACATGTAGGTATCTCGGGAGTAAAGTAGACGTGAGCACAGAAGATGACCACTCACAGGACATCTCCCACTAAGCGTGCTCCCAGTAACTGTACGTGTGGTGCGTGATACCGTGTGTTAGTCTAAGAGTTTCCCCAGGAAAAGTGACTGCTTACTGATTCTTTATTTCAATTGCAGCTCAGTGTGGTTACAGTGCAGAGAAGAAAAGCAGCCTCCATGATGAATCTGGAAAATGTTTAAAAGTATTCAGGGTTCGCTCCCAGAACTTGCGAGTTGGGAAAGCTGTGGACTAGCAGTGTGTTGACATGGTAAAACCTGCAGAGAATGGTTACGGCTTGTGTCGTTTGCATAAGCATTTTCCATTCTGTGTCTGGGGTTGTCGGAGAACAACAGTGACAGCATCCTTGAGCCAAGAAAACAGACCCGCTGCTGAGCGTCAGTGGAGAATAAAGCCTCTGGGAAGAATCACTGCCTCCATCAGTGTGTCTATTTTTACCCCTTCCTTCGGAAGAGCGTACTTCCTAAACTGTGCTGATCATGACAGAGATTTTAAGGAAATGATAGAGTTTTAATATTTCAGTCTCCAAGATTTGAGAATTTTACATCTGATTGTTACTTCTAACTCATTTTTAAGGTTCCCCAAGTCCCCATTTTATTATGAACTCATAAATATAATAAATTATCTGTTCTAAAATGATGCTGTCATGTATTTTAATGTATAATTGTAGTGGTTCTCTGTTTCACGGACATGATTCCCAGTGTTCATCAATGCTGATGTGTAAGAATGGAGGAGGTTGGGGCGGTTTCGAGCAGTCGGGTCCCACGGGCTAGGCTCTGAGCGCGCGTGGGCACCGCGCTCTGCAGTCCTGCCGGCCTCAGGTCCACGCAGGTGGCTGTTCTCCGCTCCTGGTTGGAACCTGCGTTCTGGGGCGGAGAGCAGACAGGTCGCATCCGGATGACGAGCGAGGAGACTGGCCTGTTCAGAGAAAAGAGAACGAACCGAGTTGGAGGGGACGTGAAGTCGCGTGCGCTGTGGAGGCATCCAGCCCGCGGCGAGGCGAGGACTGGTGCTGAGAACCTGAGAACCGGAGCTGGGCTGCCCCTGCTCCCTCCTCTTCTGCCCTCGCCCCAGCGATGGCCTTTGACCTCCGCCACCAGACGTGCTCTCCCACGCAGGGTCTGCTCACGCTCTGAGACCTGCTCTGTCTTCGGATGACTGCTTGGGCAGCACTGCCGGGAAGAGGTGAGGCCCTGTGTGCTGCGCTTCCTCCACGGACTTAGCGACATTTCTCAGGAACTCCGAGTGTTCTTCTTTAATGCCATCCTCCCGCCAGACTGCAGGCCCCTTGAGAGCAGGGCCGTGTCTGTGATCTCAGCCCTCAGCGAGCACCGTGCGGCTGAAAGGGGTCTGGAAGGACAGGACCTGGGCAAGGGCTTCCTTTGACGAACAGGCCCAGGAAGAGGCCTGTCTGAAGGAGATGGGGCTGTAACAGAGAGCCACGAGGCGGAGGTGAAGCCGGAGGAGCTGGGCCTGGGAGGGGGGCGGTGCCCTGGTGACCGCAGTGCCAGCCCAGTGTTCCGGGGCAGCCGGATGGTGAGTGGAGGGGCACGTTGCCCTTCCCACTCCTTCGGTCGTTTCCATTGGCTTCTCTGGGTCCTTGCCCTGCCCTGCACTGAACAACTTCCACGTGATGAGAGTTATTTTCATATTCATTTTTATGGGGTGTAGAATATATTTTTTAGAATTTTTAATTAGTGATGGTAGAATTAGATCTGACAAAAAATGAGCCTGTAGGAGAAAGCCCTTCCGAAACTAACTTTCTAGACATAGGGACAGTATTATTATTGTTTTTCAAAAAGAAAATCAAACTACCTGGCCTCATTTTTTCAAGGCAAAAACCTTTCAACATGAGCACTTTCTCTAAACTTTGTCCATAGGTACTTACTCTCTCCTTTTTAATGTCAATAATGTTAATAACGCCCTCATGCCTTCCTGAAGACTTAGATGTTCTCTAAGGATGGGCTGCTCATCTGCAGATAACAGGCCTTCTGACCTGTGCTGAATTCGCAGAAGAACTAAGCTGTGTTTAGCAACAGAACCAAGCTTGTGTGGGTTACCTTTCTTTTAGGAAAGTTTGTCAGTCAATGATTTGTAATATAAAAAATGCAGAGCCGGTTTTGCTATTTCTCAGGTTGGTCAGTGCTGACTTTGTTTCCAGGACAGTATCAGTCATTCTCTGAACTGTTTTAGGAGGCAGGACATGAATAGGAAAGAGAAAAAAGAAATGGATAGAAATCTGAAGTTGGGGCCAACACAGCGAGTTCATTTTGCTTATTCGTGTTTCTTTGTGTCTCCCTGCGGAAGAAATGAGCATTGATTACGGCCTCCCCCTTCACTACAGTGTGCACACCGGGGCAGCCAACAGCCCCCTTTCTCCTCTGGTGTGAGAACTGTGACCACCCCGACTAGGGGACGACATCAGCCACGATTCAGTCATTCGTTTATTCAGCAAATAGGCCTTATTTTATAGCTGCACCGTCTGCCAAGCCAACTCTCAGACAAGTCCAGGAAGCCTGAAAAACACTTGCAGCATTTTACTATAAATTCTGTTCTTTAACCATAATGCGTTTTATCAGATTTTCCAAAATAACAAATCTTTAATGAGCGTTTTACATGTTATCGAACATAGTGACTGATTTTTTTAGTTTACCTTTAAGTGCATACAGACATACAGATGTGTGCACAGAGAGGGGACCGGCACCTGGGTCCCGTGGTCCCCCGACATCTGTCCCTTGCCAGCCCCGAAACCTCGTAAACGTGGTGCTTGCGTGGTGGTGCAGTGCTCTCGGTACCTGTACAAGGAACAAGGACATAGATGAGCATGTACTTGACGACAGACTCATAGGAAGGTGATCTTCCACAACACTGGCGCCCACCCCCTCGGGAGAGGTGCGCTGAGGGTCTGCTAGGCCCAGCCAGGGCTCTCCGCGAGGATTCGCATGCGCCCCGACCCCACAGACACCAGCGGGCTGGCTCTCGCCCCCTCCGTGTCGCCCACTCGGCGTGTTGGCATGGGGGCACACGAGACTCCCCTGCTAGGCACAGCCTTGAATCTGCTACACTCTGCCTTCTGAAGCCCAGCCGAAGCCCAGCTGTCCGTGAGGAAGCCCAGCGGCCGGAATGCACTGGCGGGCACTTGCTCTCCACCTGGACCACGAGCAGTCCTTCCTGGCGCTCCCTGCGGGTCTCCCGCCTCGGCCCGCCGGCCCGTGGCAGGTGTCAGCCGCGAGGACAATCATCCCTGCACCAGGCAGCGTCCCCGCGTCCGTGCGCGGAGGCTGGGTTTCGGTCCTCGGGCCACCTGGGGTCCCTGCAGGCGCCCCAGGGCCAGCCGCGGAGCCCGGCTGCACACAGGGCTGGGGAGCCCTGCCCAGGCCAAGCACGTGCGGGGCGTCCGCGCCGCTCTGTGCTGCCCGGTACTGAGGGCTGGGCGGAGGGGGATGCTGCCCGCGTGGGAGCAGCTTCGAGCTACCGACCCCCACACCCCGTAGTCTGACTCTCTCAGGGACACAGGCCTTGAGAGATTCACGGGAATATACGCACAATCTCTCACTCGTGTCCAGGGTGAGAAGCGACAACTGCCCCTCTCGAGTCTACACTCCTGTGGATGCAGCTTAAACCTCGTCGGCCTTTCCGGGGGCCGCATTACCGGGGTGTCTCCAAAGCCGCATTACCGGGGTGTCTGTCTCCGAAGCCGCATTACCGGGGTGTCTGTCTCAGAGCCCGCATTACCGGGGTGTCTCCGGAGGCCGCATTACCGGGGTGTCTGTCTCCGGAGGCCGCATTACCCGGGTGTCTGTCTCCGGAGGCCGCATTACCCGGGTGTCTGTCTCCGGAGGCCGCATTACCGGGGTGTCTGTCTCCGAAGCCGCATTACCGGGGTGTCTGTCTCAGAGGCCGCATTACCGGGGTGTCTGTCTCAGAGGCCGCATTACCGGGGTGTCTCCAGAGGCCGCATTACCGGGGTGTCTGTCTCCGGAGGCCGCATTACCCGGGTGTCTGTCTCCGGAGGCCGCATTACCGGGGTGTCTGTCTCCGGAGGCCGCATTACCGGGGTGTCTGTCTCCGGAGGCCGCATTACCCGGGTGTCTGTCTCCGGAGGCCGCATTACCCGGGTGTCTGTCTCCGGAGGCCGCATTACCGGGGTGTCTGTCTCCGAAGCCGCATTACCGGGGTGTCTGTCTCAGAGGCCGCATTACCGGGGTGTCTGTCTCCGGAGGCCGCATTACCGGGGTGTCTCCGGAGGCCGCATTACCCGGGTGTCTGTCTCCGGAGGCCGCATTACCGGGGTGTCTCCGGAAGCCGCATTACCCGGGTGTCTCTGGAGGCCGCATTACCGGGGTGTCTCCGGAAGCCGCATTACCGGGGTGTCTCCGGAAGCCGCATTATCGGGGTGTCTGTCTCCGGAGGCCGCATCACGCTGCTGGACAGACACAGCCTGTTGTTGACTGAAACCCTCTTCCCGGGGTGTCGCTGCTCAGCCACGTTTCCCTTTCGGTTCCACGGTGTCACGCGTGTGCCGGGTCCGTGGCCCTCCAGCCCGCGCCGTCGGCCTCGCGCAGGGCCCGTGTCTGCACCGCAGCATCTCTGGCCCCGGGACCATGTTTCAGTGACAGTGAATGTCATCTACAGATGTATGGACACGCCGTCCGTGTTTTGGGGAAAATCACTGAAAAGATGAGAACGAGACCGTCAGTCTGTTGAAGCATCCCAACCCCAAGTCATGGGTGACTCACCGGGGCCCAGGCGCGGTCCTCCAGCCCCAGACCCGCTACCGCCGGCCGGCGCCTTCCAGCACTGACCTGGGGCTCCTGCCGAGGTCAGGCGGGTTCTTCCTAGTCCATCCCGGCCGCGTCCCAGTGATTACTGCTTGTTCCTTTTATGTTTCGTTGTTGTTGTTTTTGAACCCCGTAAGCCCTTTAATATAGCGGCCTGGAAGTTTTCATTCAATATTGACATCCTTTGTTGAAAGAATGAAAAAGCTGTCAGAGCATAATGTGATATGTAAGGAAATGTTAGCACTTAGATCTGTGAGAATTAAAAATATGAGACTAGATCTCCTTTCCTCTGAAGGGAATGAGAGAAACTCTCACCACGTTTCCGCAAGTAACCAGAAGAGTCCGTTGGAGACTCGTCCCGGGCCTGCAGCGACCACGCTGGTCTGTGTGAAGGACGCCCGCTCACCCAGCACCTGCCGCCCTGCCGGGCACCCCCTCGGTAGCTCACATGGCCCCACAACCCCACCGGGCAGATGCTGTCTTCCTGTCCTGAGACAGAAGGTGCACAAGAGTCACATGGCTTGCCCAGAGTCAAGGGCAGGAAGTGGTCCTGCCTTCAGACCCGGTCCGTCCAACACCAGCTGCCTTCCCCTCTGCAGCCCCTTGGGAGCTGCAGAACCCACACCTTGGACACCTCTCCCGTTTGCTGGCAGTCGCCTTTCTCGGCTCTCCGAGTGCCCTGAGGTGTCATTCATCTGGGTCACGCAAAT